CACGCCACAAGAAGAGTCTTTTGTCTCTTTGAGGACTCTGGGAGGTAGCAAGGGAGTGTGAACCTTAAGGTGTGTACTGCCTTTCGTTCCTGGAGAAGGTATTTAACTGAGAGCCATGCTAGGCTCAGAGAGCCTCTGCTGACCTGCCCCGCGGTCATGTAGGCTCTCCACAAGCTTGGTTGTCTGTTGTCTTTGTGTGTTTGGATTAAAGAATGTTAGCTACTGCTCACCGCTCATCTGCAGGCTTTATTTCATGGAAAATTTCCACAACACCATCTAACCAGATGAACAGAAACAATGTTTTGGCATAAGAATATTTTTTTTGTTTGTTTGTTTTTAAATTCCCCACAAAAGGTATACATCAGCTCTCATTGGTAATCCTGACTGACTGACAGAAAGATGCAGAGTACATAGTTGTACATAACTGTATGCAACACTGTCAGTTTAAACGCTACTGCTGCATGTACATTGGTTAATGGAGGAGTGATTGTAAGAAGCCAGTAGTATGTTGTACTATGAAAAAAAATATAAACATGAATATAAACATTGTAAGTTTGATGGGGAACTGCATGAAATGTCAGTTACCGTGGGGTATGTTGTTATGGTGAGTACTGTGTGTATGTGTGTGTTTTTAGAAACACAGCTCCGTGCTGTGATGATGATGATTAAGTTACAGTGAGTGCTAATGTAATCGCACACACTGTTGATTGTAAATCATGCAGTTATGCAACACATAGTTTTGTTTTTGTTTCTGAGTGAGTTGGGGAGTATATCAAAAGCTTCAAGGCTTATTTAATTTTTTTCTATATTTTAATACTTTCTACATTGTAGATGCATACTGAAAACATCAAATATATAAAGCAAGACATATAAAATTATGTAACAAAGAAATAAAGTATAAATAACTCTGAATAATTCTTATATTTTAGATTCCTAAAGTAGCCACTTTTTGTTTTGTTGAAAATGTGTCAAACCTTGGCCTTTTCTTAGTGAGCTTCATGATGTTGTCACCTGAAATGGTTTTCACTTCACAAGTGTGACTTTTCAGGGTACATTGGTGGAATTGCTTGCCTTCTTAATCGGATTGTACCGGTTGGGACCATCAGTTGTGTTGTGCAGAAGTCAGGTAGGTACGCAGCTGACAGACCTATTTGACAACTGTTATAATTCATATTATACATCGAAACTGGCTCACACGAGCACCGCCCCAGCAAAGGAAGACCAAGCGTCACCTCTGCTGCTGAGGATAAGTTCAATCACAATCAGAATCTGATCAACTGGATTAATTCCAGCCATTTGCAATTAAATTGCATGCTCATCCAAATGAGCTTAACCAGTGC